TAATAATAATAATAATAATAATAATAATAATAATAAAAAACTAACAAACAAACGAACTTACTCCATCAAACAGAACCCTTCTTGAGAAAATGTCAATGGCCTGGTTGCTCACTGGAGCCAATCAAGAACAACACTTACACCCTACTTCTTCAAGACCCCGTTTAATATTAACCTCGCCTGCATCTACGAACGCAGATCCGCCATTATCTTGACCATGGCGACATTACGTTCTTCCGAAGCAATGGCGTCCGACTGTAAGTCTAGACGAAGTAACAATCTAGAAGACCAACATGGGCGCCGTCAGCAGTTTTGAATATGTTCAACGAAATGAAGGAACACTTTCTCGACGTTACCGGCAAGAGCAGGCCATTTGCTAGACGCCTGGTGCAAAAGGTCTTCAGGGCAACTACGGATGTGTTTCAAATCGGAATAAAATACTCCAAGGGCCGTGAATAAGTTTGTGTGTGCAAGAATGTACGGGCGTGTATCCTACGTAACTGAAACGCGAACGTTCCACAAAACATAATAATCGCGTTCCATAAATCAACATCAAAGATTTGACAACAGCGATGTATTCTCACTCTGTTCGCCAGTGTAAAGGCACACACAGATAATTACGAAATTTGGGAGAAACGGTTTATGGATGTACTCTACAGAAGCAACTAGTCCTGTTATATCCACAACACGTTGTGTTTTTAAATACCGAATTTCAAACAAAGCAATTGTATGTGAAATGATGATGCATTTTTTCTCGACCATGTGTTTCGATTGTATTCTTCAATGTGAATTATATCGATTCATCTGTACTGCGAGTAAAGCTCCATGTCAAAGCAATTTATTCGAATTATTTGGATCTGCATAAGCATCTTTACTCTTCTTGTCTTTCCAAGAAACAATTACAGGGTCACATGAATCTCCTGTTACTGGTTCATAACATTTCTTCTGAGTGTAGAAGCAACCGTGCAGTGCCTGAATCTCTTCTATCGTCTCAAATCTCCTTCCCTTTAGCTGAATTTTCATCTTTGGGAAGAGGAAGAAGTCGCACGGCGAATAAGGAGGGTGCGGGATGACGGCCATGGTGTTTGAGGCCAAAAACTGCCGAACTTTGAGGGCGGTGTGCGCTGGCGCGTTGTCATGATGCGTCGCATGTGGAGTTCTTCCTTTAGAATCAGCTGACAGGTCCCATAGCCTATCCCAACAATGTCGCACAAGTCGTTGATGGTACGACGTCGATCTTCGTGAATGGCCTGCCGAATCTTCGTAACACTTTCGGGCGTTGTGCTCGAAGATGGTCGTCCAGAACGCTCGTCATCATCGACAGAGGTTCGGCCATTTTTAAAACGTGAATGCCACACAAATGTTTGTGCACGACCCATTGCGGACTCCCCAAATGCTTGCTTTAGCATTTCATAGGTTTCTGTAGCCGTTTTGGCGAGTCTTTGGCAAAATTTGATTTGTTCATGAAAATCCGCCATTCCGAAATCGCAGGAGGGTCGGTGTAATGCACTACCAAAACGCCCGTAACTAAGAAACAAATGCTAATTCGATGATGCCGGCTGGCACACTGATTCACTATGAATGTAGGCCGCACCCCCTAGCGGCAGAAGCTCGTACTACATCCGGTTCGCCCTCTATTGACAAAGTCTTGAAACTTTCCGATCGCACCTCGTATCTGTCCAATCTTCGGGTAACTCCAAAAATAGAATAAGAATATGTGGCAAGTCGAGATGCTTATACAGAAGAAGAAGAAGAAGAATCTATATATAATATGGTGGCTGTGCGTCCTTTTCGTATCATGACCGAACAATCCACTGAGGAAAACGTGGTTCAAATGACTGTCAACTTGAACAAGTATGGCTAAGCACTGACGAATAAGCCACCTCAGTCGCTCGGAAGTGACCGTAACTTATTGTAGGCTACGCTGTCAGTGTTACGGCACGAACAATCGATCTGTACGACAATTTTACAACGAAGCAGCCAGACAAAAGTGACACCACATTTCTCGTTGTACTGAAAAGTATTTTGGCATTAAATTTCAAGACGTACCAATTTTAAAAATAAGGTATTGTACCTAACACGTTTTGCAACTGAATACTTTTAAGAAAAAACCCAAGTCAAAAAAAGAAAAGATGCGAAACGACAAATTTTCTTCTGGTAGGTTATCCGTTCATTCGTAACGAAGAACTGAAATGAGGGGGCGGTGGAAAATTGCAAACCGTCACTCGGTTTAAATCTTTGTCGAAGGCAATCTGCCGGGTGAGGAGACTTGAGTGCTCAAATGACCCTTAGGGTTATGCCGGCCGGAGCTTCGGCTCATGGCAGGGTCACCCAGGTCTAAGGCGATGCGCCAGACTAAGAGTGATACCCTGGTCCTACAGGTTGGGGGTTGGGCGTAAGGCTAACAACCTTTCACCGTAAAAAAAGCTATGTTGCGAACACATTAACCAAACCTCGGACCAGGACGGACTCTTTGGCACGACCATGGCAATTGAAAAAGGACATGAGATTTGGTACTTGGAACATTAGGAGCCTCTATAGGGCTGGGGCACTGAAATCAGTGAGTAGGGAATTAGAGAATTATAAGTTAGACTTAGTGGCAGTGCAGGACGTTCGATGGGAGGGGGAGGGCACGATCCCAGTGGACAATTTTACATTTTTCTATGCAAAGGGTTTTTTTTTGGTTCATAACAGAATTAGGGCAGCAGTTAAGAGAGTAGAATTTGTTAGTGATCGGTTGTCTTACGTAATTTTGGAAGGACGTTGGTGCGACATCATTATCCTCAATGTTCATGCCCCAACTGAGGACAAAAGCGATGATATCAAGGATAGCTTTTATGAAGAATTGGAATCAGTATTTGATACATTTGGCAAGTATCACATAAAAATT